TCCTGCTGCCTCAGCCTCTAAGTGCTGGGATTACAGGTGTGTGTCACTATGCCTGGCTGGACCACTGTCCAAGTGTGAAGTATCAGATGCCAAGACTGTGATAGTTATAGTGAAGGTGGAGAATAAAATTTAACCTTTGAAACATTGATCAAACAGACAATTATAAGAAATGATGGAAAGGCAGGAGTTCCAGATTTAGCAAGGATTTAAGTTCAGGCAATGGGTGAATATTAGGTTTTGGGAAAATGGGAATGATAAAGTCATCTGTGGGCAGACTGCATTTATAGGTATGATAGTGCATCTGAGTGAAATTATCCTATGGTAACTAGAAAAAGGGGAACTGGCAAAAATAGATAAGTCTCAGAGAATGGATCTGCACAGAGATAGTAAGATCACTTAGGTGAGAGTGTTAGCTAGCATTGTGTTACTCTGACAAAATACCTGAGTGTACTCCTTAAATCAACATTTAAGGAGGAAATGCTTTTATTTTTTTTGCTCATGGTTTCAGAATTTCCTTCCATGTGATCAGTTGACTCTGTCATTTTCGGATCTGAGGTGAGGCAGCATATCACAGTAGGCTGAGCTCTCTATATCCCCTTTAAGAACACACCTGCGATGGTCTAACTTCTTCCCGCTCAGCTTCCTCTTTTTCACCATCCTCCAATACTGCCATGGGTTGGTGACCAAGTCTTTAATGTATGGGCCTGTGAGTGATATTTATCTCAACCACAGCAATGAGTAAAAGATAACAAGGAATCTTGGTTCTGACTAAAGAATTTAAGAAACAAATGTCTAAAGAGATATTAAAGGAAACAAAAAACTGAGTAAGGAGTGTCACAGGATTTGAAAATAGAATAGTTAGTGGTATCAAGTACTATTCAGGGAGGAAGGATGAGGAATCTAAAAAGGAAATTGACAAGTGACTACTGAAGTTAATGGAAGCTGGGTAACAAGGCGCTACTGAACAAGCCAGATTTTAGAGTCTCCAGTAAATAGGATAATAACTTAAAAGAGTAAGGATGTCATGAAAATTTGTATTTCAAACAGAACTTTTTTATTATTGACTGTAGTATGGGAAATTGGTAGATTTGAGATGCTTCAGATAGACATAGTATGTTGCCTACTGGAAAGTTTCCTATCTCTAGATTCTTCTGTATCACTCCGTCTTTTGTATTGATGCTGAATATGCCAATCCCCTGCCTAAAGACCTCTTTGGGTTTCTTGTTGCCAGAAACTTTTAGCCCAACAGACAAGATGTTCTGCACTCTGGTTCTAAATTCCCTGTCTCATTTCACCTTCTGCCACTGAGGGCACAGGAGAATTCTCATTCTTCTCAGGTTGGATCTTTGTACACATTGCTTTCTCCACCTGGAAATCCCTTCCTTCATCTTTCCCATGGAAAATTCTAATTCATCCTTCAACACTTGGCTCAAATGTCACCTCTTTTTTGAGTCCTTTCCTGCCTCCCCTAGCCCAGTGCGAGGCTCCTTCTTTGAATTTTCAACTGTAAGTTGTTGCTCATATCTTTTGTCTTAGCATCCCAAATTTTAATTTATTTGTTTCCATAGCTGTGTTATCTGTTAGACTATGTGATCCCTGAATACAAAGACTGCCTTTTTGTTTTAACCTCCATGGCTGACACAGAACAAATCCTTAACTAAAAACACCAGGAATGAATGAATATTAATATAAGGAAATATGTTTTGAAGTATAAAAGATGTGAAAGAGTACTACATTAGTACAGTTTCACCTCTGCTCTCTCTTTTTAAAATTCTTATGATATACATAATACATGCAACATGTGAGCTGTGTATTCTGTACACATTCTGATACAGTCATTGTGTATTAGAAAGTGGCTTTTTAGTTCAGCAATCTCAGCATCAGATGCAACCTCAGATTTTAAAAGCATTATGAATTTGATTAATTTTTATGAACCTGAGTTTCCAATTGTTCAAATGATGATAATGCATATTTATCTAGTAGCATTTAAGGATTAAATTGACAAAATATAGACTAAATTTAGTCACTAGCACTTAGTTACCACCATTGTTTACTATTACTTCCAGCTCCTGTCTTTGTGACCCATTTCTCTTTGTTTGCAGATTTAGCTTCGTTGAAACTTCAATTAATTCGTTAAGAAAGTATTTTTGTCCATTTTAAAGATAAATTTTGAAATTAAGAAACTTAATTAATGCAGTCTATCTTTATGAGCAGTGTTTCATCTGTCTAAGTCATACTATCTGATTAATAACACTCAATCCTGGCTTCAAATAAGTTCAACAAACATCTAAAATTAAATATATTGGGTGGTTTATTAGGTTAAATCTGGATTGTTCATAAGGCTCCAAATAACTTTCTTGCAGAGGAAGCCCTGGTTTTGAGCTTGATAAACTGGATCTAAGAACACCCTATTTGTCTTATCTTCAGGATTTGATTTCTCTGAGTGGTTTAGATCAACTCTCCCCTTTTTTCTCTTTGCAGAATTTTTGTGGTTAATAAAAACATGATTACTACTCCTCCCTTTTTTTTTTTTTTTGCATAGATAAATTAAAGGATTCCTCATCGGATTTAGATCAAGAGATAGATTTTCAGAAAAAAAATGATGAACCTGACCTATGGGAACAGCGGAATGTAGCATGTTCCATCTCTGAGTGATTGAGTTTATGGCATTAAGGAGCCCTTCCACACCCACACCCACGCAGAGATACAGACAGTGGTCACATTGCACTTTAGACGCTGCCTCTTTTCTCAGTCTCATTTCCAAAGTGGATCTGTTGTTTTCCATAGCTTGAAATAAATCCCTCTTTTGCTCAGTGGTGAAAAGCTTATATAAATATTAAACCTTCAACTATTCCCCCGAGTTCTCTGCTGGCTGCCTGAAGTCATGGCTTTGTTTGGATATTGACATGCATTCTCTGTGCAGATCTTTTAGGCCATTTGTGAGAGACCAGTGGAGATAAATTCACTTGTCTTGGAAATTTATCAGAATAACCATTTTAACACCCTATTTATGAAAATTTAAATAAGTGACACCCTGATTGAAAAAGCTCTAGATTCAGAGTCTCTTTTATTCTTTCAGCATATATCATTCTTATGATAAAAATCTATGGATATTTTAGGAAGTCTTGGCTAGGGAGATGATGTTAACAGTCATTGAAAAGAAAATATGAATGTGAAGACTTGATTAGAAGCAAGGCATTTAAACTTGAATCATGATATTCTTATGAAAGAATACTTTTTATCTTTAGAAGTATTTTATCGTGTACTAACTGGGGATAGTGAACATTACTTGAATGAAATGAAAATATATAGTGAAAAATCTTTATCCATTAAAATTGGAGAGGAAAAGGAGAGATTATTTAAAGATTAGAATCAATGCTTGGTTATAGAACACACTCATTAAATGTAGATAGGACTAATTAGATTCCTAGTGAAATGTAACACTTCATTAAAATGTACATTTTCTTTTTATGTAAAAATTTATATGATTGAACATCATTATTCATATATTAGTTCTTTAGAGAATACATCAGTTTCATTTTTTTCTTTTCTTTTCATCTTTATCTATTAGATATCAATCAGAAGAGAGTCCTCCAAGTAATAATACTGTTTTTGTATTTCTTTTGGTACCGGTGATCAAACTTGGGTCCTTGCGCTTGTGAGGCAGGCCACTGAACCACTGAGCTAAATCCCCGGCCCTTTTATAATATATCTGTACCTATAGTTTTTGTTTTGTTGTTTTTTTGGGGGGTTATTTATTTATTTTGGTGCAGGGGATTGAACTCGGGTCCTTGAGCTTGCAAGGCAGGCCACCGAACTGCTGAGCTAAATCCCCGGCCCTGTTTTTGTACTTTTTAAAAAATGATGAAAGAAGCATTTTTCTTTAATACAGTTTCCTATAGTGTCTGCATATCTGAAGTGAATCCTGGCTGTGTATAAGAAAGTGGAATAGAATACCATGAATTAAATATTTCAACCATAATTGCACTAGTATTTTCAGAATGGTAAGGCATATTATTTGCTGGCAATAATGTGTTTTAGGTAGTGTTTTTAAAAATTCTCTTTTATCACAGATGATGAATTACTAGCAGTAGTTTGCTATTTCAACAATTAATCGTTATAAATTTCTTCATACATTAGAAATTATGATTGTGTTGTGTGTTGTCTGTAAGAATCTAAGATTTTGCTTTTGAATTTCTTATTTTAACAGAGAAGAAAGAAAAAAAAGTAAATATCATTGGTGAATTAACTCCTCTTTCTTTAAGACCCAATAGAGAAAATGAATAAAATTAAATATGCTTTTCTGTCTAAGCCCAACTTTAAACTATAGAAGAAACAAAACAGAGGGAAAGGATGTATGGATTTGAATTTTGTTGGCTTAAATTAAAATAGTAGGCTTTTCCAAGTATAGAGTTATAATTCATAAATCACAGTGCAAATAAATAAACAGCTAATAGTGTTTTGAGATCAATGATTGTGGCTGTTAATTCTTTTTACTTTACACATTATTTTATTTAAAAATAGCTGTACTTTCTTATTTTGAGGAATAATTTTGATTATTGATGTGTAACCTAACCTGATACTGTACCTAAGACCTAAGAAACATTTGCTCCATGACTTCATGCTCAAACAGAACATTATTATTATATTTGTAAACTGTTCAAAACCACATTTGGAACTCAGTTAATGCCATTTTCTACCTGGTGTTTCTTTTCCAGCAGACACTTCCAAAGAATATAGGCATAGAAGTAGGAGGAATTACATTTCTAATAATTGGTTTTTAAATCCTGAGGCCTGACTAGCTGCTCTTACCCACTTACTGTAGGTTCATATAAGTTGTTTCATATACCTAAATCTCCCTCAAATCTCAGAGCCAAATAAGCTTCAGAATCATATTTTGTCACCATTAGTTACTTGGAAAGAGGCCCACATGAGAGAAGAAAGAGGTCATGTTACATTTTTTAGATTGTGAACATGCATTCCTTTTGGTCTGTTTCCAGGTTTGAAGAAGAAATGACTGCCACGTGGTTGTGTATCTTTGAAGGCTGTGGAATCCCTTATGGCCCAATCAAAAACATGAAGGGTGTATTTGCAGAACCCCAGGTTTGATTTTTGAAGTTTTTGGTTGCTTTCCTGTCCAGACTGATTCTTATAAACATACATTAGCCAATGATCTTAAGCTTTAAGCCACATAATATGACTTCATTGATATGTTCAAATTATGGATCTGAAATGAATCATAATTTAGAACTGGCTGTCTATAAACATACTTTTTTTCATCTGTTAGACCTAATATATTCTCTGGTCAGCCACTACCAAAATATAGACAATTGAGAGGCTGGAGTCAGGTTCTCAGAGAATTTTTTGTTGAAAGAAATATGAGAAATTTTAGTTACAGCTCATATCTTATCGTATGGCTATCTTCAAATATACAAAGTAAGCCATGGTTAGTTCTGCAAATTAGAAGTTTTCATATGCTTTGATTAAAGTGCATTATTTGTGAGGCATAAATTTCCCCTGAATAGAGATTGGTGCTATCCATTGCTTCAGAACCTCCTTCTTGGGAGAGTGGAAGAAGAAGAAAACAATTTCTTCTATAGCATTGTTTCCATGATTCTTTTTAGATGATGTCAACATAACAAGTTTTGATATTATTACTTCGACCAGCATAATGATAAGCAATTTACTGTATCTTAGATTCACATAGTAACCCCCAATATGGAGGAACTTTGCTTTTTCTGTGTAGCTGTGGTTATGATTATTCACATGTCTTGTCAATTTCCAATATTTCAAAACTATAGCACTTTTTTCTTGGGTTCTTTATATTTATATAGTGGAAGGTATTCATTTGAAATGAATTATTAAAAACGGAACATGACTTTTTGAGGGACAGTAATTTTGGAAAACCAGTCACTGTAATTTTGGCACCTTCATCTTACATCAATATCTGTTTTAAAAGGAAATTGGAGTATATTTATTCCAGTGGTTATAATATTTACTGCAGAAAAAGGTGAGTGAATTCATGAATTCTGCTCTGTGCTATTTTTCTGCCAAGACTGTGCGTTTTATTCATATTAAAACAGTGGTCAGTATGGATATGGGATAACAGGCCCTCTTGGTGTGTGTTGTGTGAGTTTGAAAGGGATCACAAGTTCACTGCATTATAGCCTGGTGATTTCTTGCGATGAGGTGGCAGTGTGTGTACTCCAAATATAGACCAGAAGGCTGTTTTTTTCACACTGTAACTTTGAACCAGAATGAGTCATTGCTTTAAGCTGTTGTACACTGAAGTGTGTAGGATTAACATTTATTTCAATTTTAGGGCACATTTTTCTAGAGATATTTCCAGAGAGTTATTCCATCACCATTTCTGTTGCTTCAGATGTGTTTGATCATATGTAATATCACCAAAGCAAAGGGTCATTCTTAAATGTCAGTAGGTGTGTTCTACTGGTATCTGTTTTATCAGGCTCTGATAAATAGTGACCTAAAGTTTCACATGCTACCTTATAATTGTTCTTATCATGGGCCAGTCAGAGCAAATATAGGCTAATTAGGATTTTCATATCTAATTTTACCTTGTTAGTTTGGTTACTGCAGGGAAACTTAAATTATTATCTTGATATCTCAACTGTTGTGGACCCATAAAGAAGCTTCTATTTTTTTTCCTGTGGCATATTTTCATACTTAGTCTACTTAGCAAATGGAGAAGATTGATATTGCCTAAGCTAGGATAGCATCTTTTAATACTACCTCCAAACTTTCTACAGGATACCCTCTTACCCACCAAAAATGGATTTTAATTGTTATAGTTCTAATATCAAGATTATTTAATTACACTGTAATTGTTTTTGATAATTGTACCCTTATATCAAGAGGAACATTTTTCTCTTTCATACATTTTTTTTGGAATTTAAATACAAAAATATATCCACGCAATTTATCTAGAGTTTAGAAAGACTAGCATAATATTCTACTATTACATTTTGAAAATAAGCAAAGATGGCTTTGGAAATTTTAAATATTCCATTTGTGTTCCTTATAAGAAGCAAGAGAACTAAATTTCCCTTATGCTTTGAAGTTTTTATAACCTTTTAGAAAGAATTCCATAAAATGTTGATTTTTAAAGAGAATCTGAATGTGGAAAAATTAGAGAGTATTAAAATAACCTAAAGATGGCATCTAAAAATGACTATGGAGAAAATTCTTTCAGTTATTCAAGAAGTCTTTATTGTATTTATTATATTCCAAGTGTTAGGGATTCAGTATTAATTTAGTCTTCTTTGCATCTCTGAAAAACAAATTAAAAATTGATTTAAACAGCAGGTACATGGTAAATATTTATGTATAGGTGAATCAGCTGATGCATAAATTGGTTTGGGAAGTGCGGGTTAGGGCTGACAAACTATCTTTAGCACTGATTGAATTGTTCTTGGTGATCTTGTGGGCTGAATATAACATAATGTTTAATTATCCAAATTGCTGGACAGTTTTATAAACTTTGTAGGCTTAAGTTTTCTTAGCTGTTAAGTGCTGAAATAGGATCATATCTATATACTGTTGAGAGTATAAAATGAGATGTTTACTAAGGGAATAAGCACAGGGGTTGTTAGATGGTAGATGCTCATTATTATAGGTGTAGATCCCATTATGATGGTGGCCCATATGGCTGTATTGTTAGTACAAAGACCTTTGTTACTTACCTTCCTAGTGGATAGAAGTATCCACCAGGATGGACATCATTTATTTACATAATATCACACTCTACTATTCTGTTAAGAAGAAGCATCCATGCTCTGTACCGGGAAGGTCTCAACTCTTCATCCTTTGTGATTACTGAAAACCCTATTATTTTTCATTTTCCACAAAAGTTTTCATAAGTATTATTTCCGTTTGAGGTAGCCAATCTTGCTTTCTTGTGATGAGCTGTAGAGTTTCTTGGCCCTGGGTACAAGGAACTGGCCACTTGTGCTCAGATGTGGGAACACGGGGCTGGCGCAGTGGTCTGCTCTCCATGTGCACTCTGCCAGCACAGCTGCTCATTCAAGTGAAAATTACTTTGGGTGAAGTACAAGGCCTGGAACGTGGCGCAGGAAGGAAAGCTTTGATGAAGTGGAAAGGGGTATGTCCAGCGGGGCGAGAAAAAGAGGATTTGAACCCTCAGGAATAAAAAAGAATTTTGTGTGCCTACTTATCATTTGTGTTTTGAAAATGTTGGTAGGCAACAAAAATGCCTCTGATGGTAGAAACTATTGCAGAACTAACAGTTTCATCATAGACTCATGTTCTAAGAAAACTTGAATTTTTTAACTGAATTAAAACAACACAATGTACTTTTTCTGGACAGATGAATGATTGTCTACCTTTTATGCTCTGATTAAATGCTACATATTTTTATACAGTTAAGCTCATCCTACAATCATCCATTGTAAGTCACTCAAGAATACTACAGGGGCTTTTGTTCTGCATTTACTGATAGTTCTGAGAAGTTTTGACTCAAAATGGTATGGTAGTTTTATTGTTTTTCTTTCCTCAATGACAGATTATCTGTGGCAAGCTCTGTGCATTATATAGTACAATATAGATTATCTGCATGTAGATTTTAATAGCCAGTCATTTTTCCAAAAGCTTTCTTAAAATATCTTCTTTTAATCAGGCCAAGATTGTGCAATACATTAAAGGCATTCTTAAAAAGTTTCAGAAACTTACTAGATGACCTCAGTATGGTCCTGTTTAACATACCCTTGTGAACATGTGCATGAAATACATTGTGGTTTGAGGGTTTCCAACCCAAACAAACTTAAAAGAAAATGCAGCTTTTAATAGAAACTTTTCAACTTCCCCTGAATATAGGTATGGATGTCACCACTGAGAGGGTTTGAAAGCATCGTTATTTACACTGAGTATCAAAAGAGAATGCCTCAGTCTGCTTTCAGGATTTCCCTTCCTAAGACTAAATATTTGCTTATTCTACTGTATCATCATCTATGATTGAACTGCTCAGTTAAAAATATTAATGATTGGAGCCTTTGATTAGTATTTTTTCCCCTTGATGTCATGACCTGAGAGTAGGGAAGAAGGGTGAAGGATGTCACATAACTGTTGTTATTTAACAAAATCTTCCCATTTGTACCACACAAGTTGAATAATCAGGTGTAAGACATCACCATGAAGCATCACTTCTGAGAACTATGGGGAGGAAAATGTCAGAATTATTGAAATATCACAGCTGGCCCCGATTTTCACTGGTGCCAAACACCTGCAGGCTCTAAAAGGATACCAAAACAGAACTCCACCCTGTGGCAGCAAGCCATCCCTTAACAACCCTTCCTTAACTTTGCATCACCATCAAAATTAATTTAACATTTTCTACAGAAACCTTATTCTTCCTGTCCCAGAAGGCCATTACAACTCCTTTTGCAAATATTTCATATGGGATAAATATGTCATAGAGAGAGAGTGAAGTATTAAAATATTTGATGGCTAAAAATTATCTGTTGTTTTCATCTCATTATTTGTGGAAGCCTGTGAAGTTGGAGGTTTTATTAATCTCTGGGCTAGCTCATATTCTCTAAGTGATTTTGTTGTAGCATATTTTGGCAAAATATCTGAGCATTTTGGAAAAAAGGCCTTCAATATTCACATAAGTGTCAAAAGAACCCCAAAATCCAGAGCTGTCAGTAAGCATAAAAAAGCAGTCCAAAACACAGAGCTATTTTTAAACCCTTTTTACTACACACACACACACACACACACCTGACACATTTTTATTTTTATTTATTTATTTTCTCATTGAGTTTATTGGTACATTTTAGGTGTACAGTACAGTTGCATTCATTATTGGGATCTTGTACCTTTACATGACAGGTCTTGGTTCTCATTTTTTCCCCTTGTTCCTGCCCTCCCTTCACCCCCTTCTCCCCTCCCCATTTACAAACAATTTATTTCCATTTTTTCATATTTTTTTCTTTTCCCTTATTACCTTTCCCCACCCTTCCCACTTTCCCTACACATTTAGCACTTTTCTTCTTATTTCGCATTGTACCTGCATTTCATGTTTTTAAATATCAACTTTGGATGACGTTTAATATTTGCTGAAATGC